CAATAATATTTAAAAATAGAAAATGGCTTAAAATCAAATAAAAAAAGGAATGTTGCCAATGTGTCTAATCTAGTAGAACAATTTGACATTATTTTTGTTTCACTGGGTCACGTGACCTAAAAGCTATTGATTTATTTTTCTCAAAAGTTGTTCATTTTGTAATTTATTGACAGCCCATAAGCAAACTCTGATGTGTGGAGGAGTGAACAGCTGGAGGGCAGCTGACCAAAATCACACTGCCTGCACCAGGTTAAACTGGAGGACAACAACACTATATTCACACAGCATTAATTTCTGACCTAAAACTAACTTCACTGTGGTCTTTCAGACTGGTAATTCCCACTGGAGGGTTTATTTCAGTTTAAGTTCACAAATGTATCACAGCTAATGAATTTTCATGAGATGTTTTGCTGACAGACAAAGGCAAACATCACCTGCTTTCTCCTTTTGATGGTGGGCAATATAGACTTGATGCYAAATGCCAACTGTAGCCTGTGGAGTCTATAATGTAGCTCTTGTTCATTTATCTCTCTTTTGAGGGGGTTTGGTTGAGGTTTTTTTTTTTTTTTCCGTTTCCTGAGTATTGCATATTCTGACTTTGTAATACTTGGGTGACTTTGGTAGGAAGTCCACTACTGGGAAAATTGGCAGCTGTTGTCAATGTTTTCCACTTGTGAATACAATGAGAACTTACCCAGTCATGCATGCTTACAGAGTGGTGAACAAAACCCACTCAGGCATAGGGAGATCACACAGACTTCACTCAAAAAAAGACAGATCTGTTTTCTTTACCAACAGATTACAGCAGGGACTAAAATGTTTTAAATATACATCATGTTATTGTAGTGGAATTATACCAGCGGTAGTCTTCAAAGCCAATCATGTCTCGTCTGCTGTGCTCCAGACTGCAGACAATTAAAGTAGACGTGTGAAGATAGATCATTTAATGACTTTGGTAAAGAGCAAACGAGAGCTAAAAGCCTAAAGACAGCAAGTGTTGGATTATTTTTCCTCCCCAGGTGACTCCAACTGAATTCTAATGTCAGGCTGGAGGTGTATGTTGTAAACTGTTTCTTTACATTCAGCTCATGAATATTTTATGAGGTAAATGTAAACAAAACTTCCAACAGAGTCAGGGAACACAGCCMGCCTGGTACACACTCTCTTTGCATCTATTTTTTTCCCCAGTGATTAGTGGGGTCAGGGAGGAGATGGGAAGTTTCATGCAGACATAGAAGTGCAAAAGATAAAGGATTTATTCCTGTGTACAGGATCTGCTGCACACATTCTGTTACTCCAGCTTTAGTGACATTTCACACAGCTTTGTTTTTGTTGTAAGAATGTGAAGCGACTGGTACCAACAATCCAGTCAGGAATGTTCTGGAGTTTGGACCAAAGGATTACTCAACAAACATTGTGCACGTTTCCATTGCCTCGTGTGTGTAGGACGTCAGAGCCTAACTGGGTGAAACGTGTTTAGAGTTCTGACAAAAGGGTGGCCATTTTAATAAATGGGTTCAGGCAACTGAGCATTTGGTTRGGAGAACAGGGTTTAGTATTTTAGCAACTGAAAAAAACTGTAATTTTACTTCGTTGAACTCAATCACACAAGCCCATTTTAGGAGAAAACAAAGTGAACCTTTATATTCAGATTAAGGAGGTGTAATGACATGTGACTGTCCAGGTGGTCAACAATCAGTGAATCATTCTGAAAATCACTGAAAGCCGCACTGTAGAATCTCTTCAATTGTAAAGTGTCTGTGTGATTTAGAACAGCCCGTGGAGGAAGAGATGCCCTGCTGTATTCAGTCCTGCACCCACAGACAGTTAGACACAACAAGCAGACCTATTTTCACCCACTAAAACACATTTTGCTCAGCAATTCACATGGGTTTCACAATGATTAGCACAGGTAACAAGTTTGAAACACAGTTAAAGCACAGGTATCTCAAATTAAACACAGCAACTCAAAATTGATCACACATGTGTCTAATGATGTGAACAAACCAATATAAGCCAGTGCAAGGAGCTCTGATTGTTGAAGTTTCACTATGGAGAGAAACAATCAGAAATGGGGTCTAAGAGTAAGAATAAGGGGAGTTGGAAGAGGTGGAAGAGGGCACATAAGAGGTGGAATAAGCAACCCATTCTCACTCCCAAGTTGTCACATATTGACGCTTTTTCAAGGTTCCCTCTGCATCTGATTTTGACGCGTAGGGTACTCCCTCGCGTCAGTGGTTGATGAGATGGGGCGGAATCCATTGTCATAATTTCAGAAAGTGTAGAAAATGCACCAAAACTACCGTCCCAAAGCCTAAAAGTACTTTTATTCACTCTAGACATCCTATCCCTGACCCTAGTACCTAAAATTAACCATTAACCCTGATCCCTAAAATTAACCATTTTTAGAAATTGTAGGAAATTCACGTGAACAACGTAAATGGTAAATGGACTGTACTTATATAGCGCCTTTCTATCCATCCAGGACACTCAAAGCGCTTCACACTGCAGACATTCACCCATTCACACACACACATTCACACACTGATGATGGCAAACTACAATTGTAGCCGCAGCTGCCCTGGGGCACATTGACAGAGGCGAGGCTGCCATACACAGGCGCCACCGGACCCTCTGACCACCATCAGTGGCAAGATGGGTAAGTTGTCTTGCCCAAGGACACAACGACTGAGTCGACTGGACGGGGATCGAACCGGCGACCTTCCGGTTCCAGGACGGCTCCCCTAAGCACTCTACCACAGCGTGTTCCAAAGCCTAAAAGTACTTTTATTCACTCTAGACATCCTATCCCTGACCCCACTACCTAAAATTAACCATTAACCCTGATGCCTAAAATTAACCACGGACCCCAAGTCAAAGARCCCAATATTTTGCGTCCCAACGCGTCAAACCTGGACGCCGAGGGAACCCGGAAATGCCTGGTGCGTCAATAACTGACGCGACGGGTGTACCCGAGTCGTCAAAATAAGACGCAGAGGGAACCATGGAAAAGCATCAATATGTGACGAGTCGGGAGTGAGAATGTGTTAAAATAAGACAAAGAACAATTATTTCAGATGAAATACAGGCAACTGTCATAGATCATGTTTTAGTCCACAGATTGACAATGAGGGAAGCGGGACTTCGAGTTCAGCCCAATCTAGGTCGATTCACTGTGTCCACCATAGTCCGAAGTTTCAGAGAGGCGAACAGGTACAGTAATTGCTTTGTTCCTTACMTGCATATTTACAAAATGACTCAATATGGTTCTGTAAAAAGGTATTTCATTATAGTACTGAATTTGTCTATATACATTATAGGCCTGGTACTACATGTAGTATTTTGTAATTGCATGTTGTGTTTTTTTTTTTTTTGTAGAATTGCAAGACTGCCACTTCATGGGGTGAGGACATCTATGTTGTCTCCACACCAAGAGATCCTCATTGTTGACATGGTCCATCAGAACAATGCAATCARACTATGTGAAATACAGCAGAAAATCATTGCAGACCAAGTGAGTTTTGAAGGCATCGACAGTGTAAGCCTTTTCACCATTGATCAAGTCCTAAAATGCAACAGTATGTGGATGAAGCAACTGTACAGAGTACCCTTTGATCGTTACTCAGAGAGGGTTAAAGAGCAAAGATTCCAGTATACACAGGTAGGTGTTCAATGCTGCAGTCTACTCTACAGCATAAATATGTCTTTCTGTACTACTTACAAAACTACATGTATTTTTCAGATTGTTTTTCAGTTGGACACAATTTCAGTTTCATTAGAACAACCCCATGAATATATTTATATGGATGAAGCTGGGTTCAATCTGACCAAAAGGAGGAGGAGAGGCTGGAATGATTGGCCAGCGAGCAATTGTTGCAGTACCTGGCCAATGGGGTGGGAATGTAACATTATGTGCTGCCATCAGCAACAATGGGGTTATCCACCATCATGCCACATTGGGGCCATACAAAACTCAACATCTCCTGACATTTCTTGGTGATCTTAGAGATAATGTTTTAGGTCATCAGCAGAAGGATCATGAGCAGCCAGGGCATCCTGTCTATGTCATTGAATGGGACAATGTGAGTTTTCATCGTGCCATCCAGGTCAGAGAGTGGTTCAATATCAACCAAGAATTCATGAACGTTTTCCTTTCACCATACTCCCCTTTCCTCAACCCAGCAGAGGAGTTCTTCTCTTCACAGCGTTGGAAGGTTTACGATCGGCAACCTACACCAGGGAAAATCTCTTGCAGACCATGGAATTGGCCTGTAATGACATACAGTAGGTGTGGATGTGTGTCAAGCGTGGATCCACCATACTAGTAGTTTTTTCCCACACTGCCTGGCCAGGGACAATYTCGCCTGTGATGTAGATGAAGTTCTGTGGCCTGACCCAGCATGTCGCCATGATGCTGTAGAGTAGATGCTGTCTGCACATTTTTTGTATCATATACTGTGTTTTTCTTTTGTACTGTAAAATGCTAATTAGGAATTTTGTTCTTAAAATATATTTTCCTTTGTGGAAAATAAAGATTCTTTCAAAAGCTTCATGATCTTATTGTTGTGTTTTTGTTTATTTTCCCTGTTGTGTGACTGCTCAGTGGTGTTTGTTCTTTTGATTTCTTCGAGGTCTGATTTGACAACATTGTTTGGTTTTGAGCACAGTTTAAACTATTTTGAGGCTGGAGTTTGGATTTGCTGGAGGAGTCAGAGGTTCTGTGAAAGCAGTTTGAAAATTAGGTTTTGTGTTTACAGTTTAGAGAAATTGATGGATGGTTCCAAGAAATGTGTTTTAGCAAATGAGAAAAACAGAAAAATACCTTGGCAGAAAATAACTAGTAAAAATGTATTTCACTGATAAGAAAAATACTTGAGTAAAAGTTATAAAACTACACACAATAATTAGGAGAGTCAAGGTAAAAGTACTTATACACAATAAAAAATGAAGCATTGAATTTACTTGACCAAGTCATGTCAACTGGCTAAAATAAAAATATTTAAATTTGTAGAGTGTAATGAGGTGTTAAATTTGAAAGTAAAGAAGTAAAAGTATATATTTTTTATATTTTGGATGCAACAAAATAAAAGTAAAAATTACAATTTAAAAATACTGGATAAAATAGTTCCTCAAAATAATTACTTGAGAACAGTAATGAAGTAAATGTACTTTGTTTCTATACACCTCTGTAAATCAGATTTTTTTTCACCCTACTTGGGTCTTTTTCATGTGTGAGATGTCAATCAGATATATATACGATGCTTTTTAAAGTCACTGCAGTTTGAATGGTCAAGCTGCTTTTCATATGACTTTTACATCATTGAGGTAGGGTTGTACAAATCAATCCAGACATTGATATTATCAATACCAATGTCATGATTTGATGACTGAGAATTTACACCAATATTACTTCAGGGCCATAGACCATATGGCAATTGGGTTTAAATTATTATGTGCAAAAATTAACGTGACACTTTAAAATAGTGGACATGCTTCAGTACATCCATGATCCACCCGCTTCGGATGTTATCATCCATGAAATGGACGTTATTAGGCTTTATCAGTCCCCTAGAATGGCTTCAGAATGTCCCGCCTGTGCCGGTTAGCAGGTTCTCCGTCCCATAGAATGGCTTCTGATTGTCAGCTGCTTTGTATGAGGCATAAAACCACTATCTGGTTAATATGAGGCTTAAAGCCACTATCTGGTTAATATGAGGCATAAAACCACTATCTGGTTAACATGAGGCATAAAGCCACTATCTGGTTAACATGAGGCATAAAACCACTATCTGGTTAACATGAGGCATAAAAAAACACATGAGGCTTAAATCCACTAAGGTTAACTTTAGAGCAAATGACATGGTTACCGCTAAAGACACCGCCCTCCAATGGTTTTATATTGTGGCCTTCCAATAGAAGGGTTGAAGCTGGAGACCAGTGTTCGCGACCAACACGGACACATAAAATTTATTACAATATCTTTTTGTTATTTACACATTCATTGTCATTGATATATTAACCCACTAGGGGGCACTGTCGGGACAGTCTGAAGCCTAGAAGGCACAGTAGGGACCCCCTGAAGCCATGGTATGGGACTGATAATGCCTAATAACGTCCATTTCATGGACTGATAACATCAGAATCCCCTGCATGATCCTGGGGATTATGTTGTCTGGTAGTGTCTCTCAGAAATAATTGGCCTGAGTGCCCTCTGAGAATATCAACAGTGCAATGAGTACTTTGAGGATATCCTTAATCAAGCAACCTTTGAGGAAGCAGAGTGTGAAGACTCAGAGAAGAACAGGTTTTGCCATTACCATGGCAGAGGTAGCCAAGGCAGTCAAAAAGCTCCTCAGTGGCATGGTGCCAGGGGTGGACGAACAATGCCCTGAGATGCTGAATGCTCTGGATTTTGTGGGTGTCTCATGGTTGACACATCTTTTCCATGTTGCATAGAGAACTTGGACAAAGCTTGCAAACCAGAGTAGCAGACCAGAATGGTGGTTTTAAAAAGGAGGACCAGAGAGTGTGCTACAATTATTGTGGGATCATATTCCTTAACTTTACAGGGAGAGATAACTCCATGGAAATGGAAGGGAGGCTCTAACCAATAGTTGAGTTAGTTGAATTTGTGGTAAAACATCAATAAATGTTTGAAAATGACATAAATGCTGAATGAATTCTTTTTACAGAAGTTATCTGAAAAATTCTTTTGCAATCTTGTCTTATGTCATGAGTTAAATGTATTACACCACTACACAGTACATAACCCTTAGAACCACTCCTGGCAGCTCTTAAGGAGCAAGTAAAGACAGATAATCAATAAATTTCAACAGGATTTACTCCTTCTTGATTTGATCCCCTCAGAAGCTTTAGCTGTCACTGGAACTCCTTTGTGTGCTGTCTGACCACACTACCTTCCAGTCTAAGAAAGATTTGAAATATCTAAAATCACGTTTTCAACAAGATTAATAATTAAATTAAACGACAATATTATTGCAGACTTTAATTTGTACTGAATCCAAGGCTAATAACAGTGTGAATGACTTTAATGTGGCAGTAAATAATTAGTCTTTCTTCTGAACAGACTGAAGTAGCAGGGAGGTGGCTTTTGTGTCGCATTTTCTGTTGTTACAAGACTGTTCCGCACTGTTTTCAAGTTCAGTGCTGTTGAGTTAGTTTTGGCATTTAATGACAGTATTGTTATAGTTGGCACGTAATGACTTATTAGCTCCATAAATTACCCTGTGGATGTTTTCTGAAAATGTAAATCCAAAAAGCTGTTTGTCTTAGCTGATTATTAATGCTGACTGACATTTTGTCAAGTCAGATTATTTTTAAAACACACATGCTGCAAGCTTCTTTTGGTACAGCTATTTGCAGATCTTACAAACTCTAATGTGAAAAAGTTCATATATTTTTTAAAACAGAATAAACTATTATTGCAGTTGTACAAGACCTATCATGACCAGTTAGTTCCATAAAATGTCACTTTAAAGCACAAACAGCATTTTATTAAAGGCACAGCGTGTAGGATTTTGTCAATTCTTTTAGCCGAAATTGAGATAATCACTAATGACA